AAACAAAACATATTGGCATCCTCAGATTTAAGATCTCGGTTTTTCTGAATAATAGTGAAAAGTCACAACCGTCAGTCATGTATAAAGGACAGTGATTCTACCATTTGTAACTCTGTAAGCATATATAGTATCACTGCCAGCTAAGTGTTCACAAAGCATTGAAGAAGCAATTACTATAGCAAAAGCTCAACATCTCCAACTCAGCTGGTGATATGAAAACATTTATGGATCTTCAGAGGCCCTTGTAAATGTCTTAGGTCACTTATGTTATCCAACATAAAACGTAAAAGTTGAAGCCAACTAAAATATATTCTGTTATTTATAGGAAATACTCTTAAGTATATAACAAATTTCACTCAATATATAATTCTTCATACCTATGATGCCACAGACTGATTTTATGATAAATTTTTTTCTTATATAATAGTCTGAACTGTTTAAGTTACTCTTTAAGCTGTAATGCAAAAAAAAACTTTTAATTCAGCCTCAAAAATAAAACAATATTTCATTTTTATCTCATTTGAGAACCAAGAAAGTGAGAAGAAATTGAAAATAAATACTAAAAGATAAAAACTGGGATTAGAGGCATGGCTTAGCGGAATAGTGCTAGCCTAGCAAGTGCAAGGCTCTGAGTTCAATCGCACTATTGCAGAAACAAAGAAAAAAGAAAAGAAAAGAAAGATTGAATCTATTAAATCATTTATAGAAGTTCTTTAGGAAATACCACATAGGGGAGGTAGAGGTATAGCTAAGTAGTAGAGTGCACTCATAGCATGCACAAGGTCCCAGATTTAATCTTTAGTAGTAAAAGATAAAAATCTAAGCTTCTAACATAGCACACTGACAGACATGCAGAATAAACACATGCTAGTTCCTCTGTGATTCCACCGATTTCTAAACTAGACGACAAAAGTCCAAGGTCCTATCTCTGGCCTGACAGACACAGGACTAGATGGTAGAGGCCTGTTAAGGCCCCCCCAAAACAGAACAAACCACACTGTAAGTGGAAAGCAACAGTCACCCAACACCCACTCACACTAGACAGCCAACAGAGAAAAAACCTTCTCCACGGTGACTGCTAAACAAGTAAACCCACAGATGTTCCTTGCCAGTGACAGCAAATTACAGTTGTCCACAGAACCATGCAGCAGGGTTCTGAAAGGTAACTGTAGGAGAGGGAACACATAAAGGAAGTATGAAGGAAATTATTTCCTCTGATATCAGGTATCATGTACTGACTGCTAAGAAAAGTGACTCCTGTTAGGCAAACAGCTTTATTTTTCTATATTTTTATAAGTTAATTCCATATAGTCAATGGATCACACCTAAAGGTAACAGAAGTCTATGAGACTCCATCTCCAAAATAACCATCAAAAATTCTGGGCTTAAGGCTGGGAATGTGGCTTAGTGGTAGAGTACGCTTGACTAGCATGCATGAAGCCCTGGGTTCAATTCACCAGTACCACATAAACAGAAGAAGCTGGAGGTGGCACTGTGGCTTAGTTGGCAAGTTGCAACCATTGAGCACAGAGAGACTCGGGGACAGAGTCTGGGCCCTGAGCTCAAGTCCCAGAACTGGCAAAAAAAAAATTAAAAAAAGAAAAATGCTGGGCTTGGCAGTGTGACTCAAGTGATAGAGAGCCAATAAGCAAACACAAGGCCATGAGTTCAAACCCTAATATAAGTGGGAGAGAGGAGAAGAGAGGGTAATAAACATTGGTCAAAAATAAACCAAATTAAAATTTTATGTTCTAATTTCTCTTTCAAAAGTTAGTAGCATATTGAAATATGTTCTAAGTTCTCTTGAAATATTGAGGGACAAATTTGTTATCAACTCCAGCCAAATATTTGATACCAAACAATACCAAGACCATAGTGGTTCACTTAACAAGCATACTAAACAATATTAGAAGTGGCATAAGCACACAGGAAATATAGGACACATCACCAGTTACGAAACAGCCACAGCATTTACTCACCAAAGGAAGCACCACTTAAAATGAAGCAAAGGATCTTTCTCTTTTCTCTGTCTGACCCAGTCCAAGCAACTACTTTGGAATCAACAAAAGGAACCACAGCCCTAGTATTGCAGGTCTACCTTGTACAGCAAAATTATTAGCCAATCTTCAGACATGTGAACTGCTTTTGAAAAATTCCTATAAACCAGAAAATTAATGACACTAGGACATTCTTTCCTGAAGCTATCTGAAGTGTTCATTATGTATGACTCCCATATAAAAGTCAAAAACTATTACATGTATTTGCTTTACAAAGAGCTCACATGTGAACCAGTAATGGTATCACTAACTAATAAGGCTCAAGGTTCAATGAAAAAAAGTAAACTTCCAAATTTCAGATAACACTATAAACTTTTACTTTAAATCAAACTATGATTCGAGCTATTCAAGCTATTATGTAATTCCATTCCTCCATCTCTAAAGTTTTGTACATGCTTACAATAGTAGTTTAATTATTGTCTTAGTAGTCAAAGCTAAATGAGACTATCCAAGATATTAGAAAATATCCTAAAAAAGTTATAATCTATATTGTACAATACTATGCACAGATTTATCAGAAATGAGTTTTAAGCCAGGCATTGTGGTACACACCAGTAACTCCAGAAATCAGCTGAGGCAGGAGGATTGTGTGGGCAACCTGGGCTACAACCTGTTTCTAAAATAACAGAACAAACACAGGAGACAGAGATCAGAAGGATCACATTTTTAGACTGGGGGGTGGGGGACGGATTTGCAAGCCCAATCTCAACCATTATAAGGCTTGGCTGTAACACTCTCCTTTGATTCCAGCTCTGCAGAAAGTGTAAATAGAACTGCCACCAAGGCCACCCTGAAAATAAATATGAGACCCAAGACTATTATTCAAAAAATGCCTAAGACAAAAAGGGCTAAGGCAAGGTTCAAGTAGTAGGGTGCCTGCCTGCCTAGCAAGTCCCTGAGTTTCAACCCAGTAGTGGGGAAAAAATAGCTTTAAACTCATTAAGACAAAGTAATTATTTTGTCAATAATCTGTCAAAATTTAAGCAAAGTAGTTTGGAAATTAAGTTCAAATATGTATGTAATATACTACACTTTTTAAAGTGAGAATGTGATTAAAACAAATACTAGGCTAGAAAATGAGTTTTTTTATTCATTTCCTATTATCCACTTATATGAATTGATCACAAGTTAAACAACAATCTGACATCTGAAACAGCTTTGTTATGTCAAAAATATTACATGAAACCATCTTACTAAGCACAAAGAAATATTTGTTCTATTTAAGTGAACCATTCTTTGAACATTATCATTTCAAGCTTACATGCTGCACAGGATTCTCATATAAAGAACCACATTAAGTTCACCACAAACGTAATAAGCCTTAATCAAGTTTTTCTACATAAAATAGCTGTCAACTATCTATCAATATAACCAGTTGTAAATTTTTCATTTTCATTAATAGTTAAGGTTGTTATCTTTGTACATAAAATAAGGCCAACAAAATCATACCAAATAATAAATTCTGTCCACATTCAATGTTGGAAACAAAATGTTCATTTTATCTAGCCTCTCACCTTCAATGCATGGAACTATCACTTTAAGCCATAAAATTTGATGTTGTAGCTGGGTGCTATTGGTTCATGCCTATAATCCTAGCTACCCAGTAGACTGTAATCTGAGGATCAAGGTTCAAAGCCAGTGCAGGCAGCAAGGCTCTTGAAATTCTTTATCTCCAATAAACTACCAAAGCGTTAAAAGCTATGGCTCAAGTGGTAAAGTGCTAATGTTGAGCAAAAAGCTAAGGATGTTGCCCAGGCCCTTAGTTCAAGTCTCAGGACACACACACACACCAAAAAAAAAAAACTACAACAACAACAAAAAAATCATTCAGTGTTGACCTGGTTTTAATACTGACCTCATATCAAATCAGAAGTAAAAGTCTTAAAATAGTCAACCATCTTAACATTGCAACAGACTCAACATACAGTATAAGGCAGAAGATTATGTTTCTGTCCTTCCTCCGTATCTTTTATAAAAAGTATTTTTATTTCCCAGTAAATGCTGACTAGAAAATGGGGGTGGGATAGGATATGTGGTCACTGGAAGAGAGATAAAGAACAACCAGACCTATCTGTAAAAGGCCCACAAAAATCATTTGTGACAGGACAGATATCTTCCTCATCAGCTGCCCAGGGTCCATCTGCCGACATTCATAATTTTGTATGGCCCTCAAATAGTGTTATAATATCCAATATCCCTTCACAGAAAAAGGCACCCATTCCTGGTAAAGAGTATTTTTTTTTATTATTATTTCTGTCAGGACCTGGACACTGTCTCTGAGCTCTTTCTAGTCAAGACTAGCACTCTATCACTTTGAGCCACAGTCCCACTTCTGTTTTAAAAGTGGTAATTGGAGATCAGAGTCTCTTGGGGACTTTTCTACCTGAGCTGGCTTTGAATGGGGATTCTCAGATCTCAGCCTCCTGAGTAGCTAGGATTACAGGGGCGCACCACCGCCACCTGGCAGTGTTTTCTATTTAACATCACTGGTTTAAATCACTTATTCTTAGTCACATCCAAGAAATAATGTAAAACATGAATAAACATTGATGAATGTTCTTATACTTTTATAAACTAACTTCCAAGAAGACAACAATAAACAATAATTATTAAATAGCATGTTTTAGCCACAGTATTATTCTATCATTAAAGAAACAATTTAAGGTATTAACACCTTTTCCACTAAACGATAACAGAATGTGTTGCTACACTGTAATTTCATTATCATACTGCTATTACATTGCACTGCTATTGGCAAGTTGACTGTACCACTTCAAACATACTTGCTGAATATTTCACTCTAAACAGACAACAACTACACTATACACCAATTATTTAAATCCAAAACACCATGTTATTACTATTAAAACTACAACATGAGACCAATAGCTTAAATATACCTTCTGCAAAAGACACAAGTAATAAAAATCAGTAATTACTTACCTACAGTTGGGAGGAGGGTCCAACGTAATTTCTGCAAGTTCTTTCTGAATTCTTTAAAAAGAAAATTTATGTCAAATTTTCTTTAATCTATTTCACTAAAACGTGGTACTTCAACAGTAATACTTCCCTTTTGTGTATGTTTTAAATCTGAAGTATCAGTACTGTATAAAGCATTATCTACAATTTTGAAGATGTACTACCAAGGATGGTGACATCTGTACCACCAATACATAAAGCCTGCGGCAACACACTAACTTATTAAACTATAAAGGCCTTGTTTATAAAACCCTTCAAGGTTTTATAATGGTGGCTCTCATCTGTAATCCTAGCTACTCAGGAGGCTGAGATCTGAGGATCACAGTTCAAAGCCAACCCATGCAGGAAAGTCTATGAGACTCTTATTTCCAATTAACCACCAGAAAACTGGAAGTCAGGGACAACACCCAGGCCCAGAGCTCTATGATGGAAAACAAAAACAAAAACTTCAAGGTAGGATTGTTTTTGTTTTAGGAAATTGGCTTGAAATGTGAACTCTGGTAACTGGGACCCACAGCAACACTCTGTGTGTGCATATTCCTAGCTTTTGTTTTATCCTTTCAATGAACTGTAGCACTGCTATACAAAGGCAGACTGATAATGACTCTATCCTTAAAACTGTAAATAAACTCAGTTTTCCATTTCAAATATTTTATGCTATCTTTTCTCAATGCAGGAATGCTAGTTTAAACTGGAAACACCTTTCACAGTAACTATGGGTCACTCTTACTTACCTCCAAACATTCCTGACTGGCCCAATCAACTGATGAAGAAATATCTAGATCTCATTCCCACACTGGAAACTGCTACCAAAATACATAGTATTCTTTCTAAAGCATGTTGAGACTTTGAGGTTTGGCACCATTCCATCTGCTTGAACTACCTTAATATTCCATGAGCTTCCTACAAGAAATTAAAACCTGCTTTTGTTCTTACGTCACTTTTCTGGGGGACGGTGCTATGGACTGAACTTAGAGCCTCTCATGTGCTAAACGTGAACATAACCACAGAGTTATACTCCCAAGACCCTTATGTATTATCTTTTTTACTTTGATTTTTAACAACATCTAACATCCTATGTACCTACACAAAGACTAACAGTGGTAAGCTAGATTTTCTATGAGTACACTTTTAAACATCTCTTAACCACTCATGTCATGAAATTTGGGTTTTGCTAAATCAAACACAAAAATATTGTTGAGCTGGGCACCATTGGCTTATGACTGTGATTCTAGCTACTCAGGAGGCTGAGATCTGAAGATCACAGTACAAAGCCAGCCTGGGCAGGAAAGTCCATGAGACTCTTATCTCCAATAAACTGCCAGAAAACAGGAAGTGGTGCTGTAGCTTAAGTGGTAGAGTGGTCACCTTGAGGAAGGAAGGCAGGAAGGCAGGCAGGAAGGCAGGCAGGAAGGCAGGAAATCAACTAGACAATTATAGACAATTACCTATATTTCCAATTACCAGTTGGCAACTACGGAACAACTCAGGTTACTGTACCACAGAACTTAGCAAAAGCACTTACTTACAGAGATGAGTCAAGAACAAATTACAAATTTAATTGTAATTTGTGTGATTTACCTATTACTTTAACTTGTAGGATGAATGAGGAGAACAAAATAAGAATACTGTGAGACTATCATTTGCTTTAAGGAAAAAAAAAGGCAGGAAGCTTAACAATAATTTGATACCTTAGTGATAAATATGATACTAAAATTGTATAGAATAAAGACACATTCATTTTAAAATCAATATACTGAAGTAATGTATCAGAAAAATAAAACTATATATAAATTGCACATACATAAAGTCTGGGCTAAAGAAAAATCCCTAATTCAGCCAGGCCCACGCGCCTGTAATCCTAGCTACTCAGGAAGCTGAGATCTGAGGATCAGGGTTCAAAGACAGGTAGGGCAGGAAAGTCTCTAAGACTCTTATCTCAATTAACCACCTGAAAACCAGAAGTGGTGCTGTGGCTCAAGTGGTAGAGTGTTTGCCTTGAGCTGAAGAGCTAAGAGACAGTGCCCAGGCCCACAGTTCAAACCCCACAACTGACAAAAAACAAAAACAAAAAATACTCCCTAATTC